TCCTGGGGTGAGCCCCCTCCCCCCAAAGTCTCTCCTCCATCCATCCCTCCCCTCCGTCGCTCCCTCCCTCCCAGGCCTGACTTGCAAAGGGCTTCCCCCTCCTCCTCACCTGCTCAGGTGTTTTTCTACAACTCCTTTGCTCTTCTGAAGGAGGGGGGGCCTTCCTCGGAGTCCCCCTCCCCCCTTGTTTGGGGTGGGGGGGCATGGGGGGGATGTGAGCCCCCCCCGCCGCCGCCGCCCTCCTCCTGGAGCAGGAGTCTTGTGTTGTCCAGGTGAGAGTCTTTCAGGTAGGTGTGTGTGGGGAGGGGTTAGGAATCGAAATAGGGTTCTTTGGGTTGGCCGAGGGGGGTTGGACCCCCCCCCGGAGGAATTTGGTCTTTGGTAAAAATGATCTCGGTGTACGTGGAATAGAATATAGAATAGAATTCAGAATAGAATATAGAATAGAATTCAGGATGGAATATAGAATAGAATTCAGGATAGAATATAGAATAGAGTTCAGGATAGAATAGGAATGGAATAAGAATAGAGTAGAGTAGAGTAGAGTAGAATAAGAATAGAGAATAGAATAGAATAGAATAGAATAGAATAGAATAGAATAGAATAGAATAGAATAGAAAATAGAGATAGAAATAGAATTCTTTTTCTTGGCCAAGGGTGGTTGGACCCCCAAGGAATTGGGTGCAAATGCTCCCAGTGTACATAGAATAGAATAGAATAGAATAGAATAGAATAGAATAGAATAGAATAGAATTCAGAATAAAATTCAGAATAAAATTCAGAATAGAATAGAATTCTGAATAGAATAGAGAAAGAATTCAGAATAGACTATAGAATAGAGTTCAGAGTAAAATTCAGAATAGGATAGAATTCAGAACAGCACAGAACAGAATAGGAATGGAATAAGAATAGAATAGAGTAGAATAAGAATAAGAATAGAGAATAAAGTAGAATAGAAAATAGAGATAGAAATAGAATCCTTTTTCTTGGCCAAGTGTGCTTGGACCCCGCAAGGAATTTGTCTTTGGTGCAAATGTTCTCGGTGCACATAAAAGAAAAGCGACACGCTGCCCTCACCTTCTGTCCCTGTTTCTCTTCCCAAAATGAGGCGCTTTTTGGTTTTTTTTGCTATATTTTAAGGACCAAATAGGGAACTTTGCCTCTTTTTCTTGTTTTTTATTTTTTTCCCTCCTCATTTTGGGTATAAAAATCCATATTTTATTTTTTGCTTCCCTGGGCAGAAAATCAGCGTCGTCGAGCAGGAAAAAATCGACCGGCTCATGATCGACTTGGATGGAACGGAGAACAAATGTAAGCGCGCGTGCGTGTGCATGTGTGTGTGTGTGTGTGCCTCAAAGCCCCCCCCACACCCCTGTTTCCCCCCGTCCCCCCCCAGCAGGGGAACCTCCTCACCTCTGACCCCCCCTTTTGCCTTTATAGCCAAGTTCGGGGCCAACGCCATCCTGGGGGTCTCCCTAGCCGTGTGCAAAGCCGGGGCGGCCGAAAAGGGGGTCCCCCTTTACCGCCACATCGCGGATCTGGCTGGTAACAAGGAACTCATCCTGCCGGTGCCGGTGAGTGGGCCAGACCCCGGGGGCGGGGAGGGGGAAGGACAAGAGGGAGGGGCACCTCAGCACCCGCAGCTCATGGGGGGGTGGGGGTCTTGCAAGCTTTTGGGGGTGTCCTTGGAAGGGGAGGCTCGGCTCGGCCAGAGCGGAGTCCGGACATGGGGCAGCTGAGCCCCAGAGGGGTCACCGCTTGCTTGCATCCCCTCCCCAACCAGGCCTTCAACGTGATCAACGGGGGCTCCCACGCCGGGAACAAGCTGGCCATGCAGGAGTTCATGATCCTGCCGGTGGGCGCCAGCAACTTCAAGGAGGCCATGCGCATCGGCGCCGAGGTCTACCACAACCTGAAGGCCGTCATCAAGAGCAAATACGG